ATCAGTGAATAGGACTGGACGAAGACGACCAAGCCAGCCCCCATGCCTGCTGCTGCCAGCAAAGTGAGGCTCTGCCACTGTGGGACATGGCGACCTTGCGCAGAAGAAAAGCAACCATGCCAAGGCCATGCTGGTACTCAGGTCTTTCCCTCCTTTCTCCACTCCTCCTGTCCTTTTGCATTACCAGATATATGCTTGAAAGGGGGGGGAAAGGAAACAATTAGGGGCAGCAGCACTAGACTAGCATGCAGCAATATCCATTAACCAAGAGGCTGCTATGCTGCAATTAGTTTTAAGTGGTCTTTAGCATTTTCATTAGCTCTTAGATACTTTTGACATACTTAATTTACACCACAGAAACTGTAGATGATGGCAGACGGTGATTAAGATGCACTTCGACTCTTCTAGAGTGTGCTGAGTACCTTGTAGCTACGGTCCATGCATATAAAGCAATATTGCTTATTATTCAGAGCTGTTTGTTACATTAATCATGTGCCTGCTTTGCTCAGGGAAGAGGAATTAGAATATACCAATATTCTGGCTGCTTGTTTTTAAAATACGTGTGTGGGTGGACACTCCAGCTACTGCTCACATTTTTCTCTTGCAAGTCGCAGAAAAGCTGTTCGTGATTCTTCTCCCTGGTATTTTCTCTTGACGCTAATTTTGTTGGCCAGATTCAGGAAGGAAGCTGCCTCAAGCCAGTCAACAGGTGTTGCATGGAAATAATAAGTATTATTAATTGAGAAGTGTTTGAATTTCTGGATTGCAGAGAAGAAACTTTGGAACAGCTTTAAAATGAAAAGCGCTATAATGTTTTTCTTGCAGCAAAGAAACAGAAGGCCTGCAGTGCTATTATCTCTGTTCATTAAACCTCTTCTGATTTGACACCTTCTAGTCTTAATATCGCTTAGCAAGTCCTTGGGAATGAACCGCAATGCTGTTTCTGAAAATTATTTAAGAGCTTTACATTAGTAGAAAGGAATTGATTTTTCAAAGCAAAGTTTGAGCCCAGCTGCAGATCCTGAAATGTAGATATAAGGAAAACCTGTGTTAATGCGCCACTCAGTCCACGTTGCTTCCAATTTAAAGCAGCTGCCTGGTGGAGAAACTAAAAGACAGGGTTAAATTTGTGTTGAAAATATATACCTGGCTGGTCAAAGCTGGGAATTGCCAGTCCTCATTAAGTCCTGAGACAGAGGGTAGCGAGTAAACACAGTAAGTGACTTTGCCTGGAACATCTCAGCCTTCACCAGCCACCCAGGCTACTGGCAGGTCTCATCATTCATTGGGGATGTTGCACAGAGAATTTTTACAGTCAACTATGTTCACCTCGTGATCCTGGAAAGACCTTATGGAGGCATTAAGAGCAACCCAACAAATCGTATCAGTGTCTTCCATGACCTTGTCTCTCCACATCTGAACTCGTGAAGAACATTTCAGAAAAACAGCAAGTTCTGGGATTGAATGAAGCTTGAATGAATGAGAAAAAAAAAAAAAAAGAGAAAAACAACCAACTTGAAAAACAGTGAGTTACCATTCTGCTCACCAGATACGAACAGTGTGTCAAGATGTGTCTCCAAGCTGAAGAGTTTACAGTATGCATAAATAGCTCCATAAAAACCATGTTGTCACTGCCTCGTTAAAAAGCCTGTAATGTAGTAGAGCTAGCTCTATCAGACATCAGAACTGCTTGTTTACTTCAGACAAATGATTTTATCTGAATGTCTTTCATCAGAATATCTTCTACTTTTTAAAAATAAAAAGAAAAAAACAGATCTGTTCACTTTTTCAAACTGCACTTAATTCAAAAAAGGCCAAAGCATTTACTTCCAACATATACTCCTTAAAAAACACTTTAATCCTTAAAGTAAAATCATTATTCCTCTAATCCAGCAAAATGCTCCCACATGAGAAATAAAACTTAGGCACGTGTGCAATAATCTCCTCAAACGCTATCTGCGAAAGGCACGTATTACTTTGAGCACAGCTTTAGCAAAAACTTACTCATTGTTCCCTACAAACGATGGATCTCCAGCTATTCTCCAGTTAGTCAGAGGGCCATAATTCTCCAGCTATGCCATCGCTCCAGAATAACGATGTTAGCCCAAGACCACTGGCTATAAGAGCACACGAGGAACGATGCCACTGTCTGTCCCAGCACACACAAACCTGCCCGATCCGGGTTATGAGGCAGCAGATCCGAATAAGAGGTTTATGAAGTAACATTCATTTACAAGTGGCATGTAGCCACTGTTTCATAATGATTAATGAGCATCCCCGAGCAATACGGTATTTGTCACTCCATTACTAACTATAGTCATTCTCCACACAGCTCCCTGGAAGACTGTGAAGATACTGCCCTGTGATTTAGATTTGTATGGAATTTCTAAGAGCAAACGTCTTGACAGGCATTAGTTCAATTAAAGTAAATTTCCCTTCTTATAAGACTGATAGATTACACACACACACACAAAAACCAGACTAGTTCGGTTTATATGGAAACATACAATTATACAATTTATTTATTGATACAGTTTTAATCCACAATACATTTGATCTAGCACACCCAAAACACATGGAAGGCAGCCACACCAGGCGTCGCTCACTCCCGACCTGCTCCAGGCTCCTTGCCCAGGACTGGGTGTGCTGGTGCCCCCATACCATCACCCTGCACCACCAGGAGCACCCAAGCATCTCCATCACCCACACAGTCCTGCGGGACCTCCTCTCACAGCCACCAAAGGCAGCTTGGGGGATCTGCCAGTGATTCTCCCAGACGCAGGAGGGACTGAGCCTGTTTTGTTCATATCAGTTGTTCCCTGTGCTCTGCCAGACCCCAGTCTTCAGTGATCTCCATGCTGCGTACAGGGAAAACACCGCAGCGATAATGACACATTACAGAACATCTCGGCTGCGTGAATAACTGCAGATACACACTGGCCTGCCTTTGCACAGGCATCTCCATGAAGGCAGTGGGAGTTGTGGAGACATTATTAGGTCTCATGACATTTTAAAAAAGATTAAATATAAAATGTCTTATAGGGGTTTCAGAGGCTGGAATGGAACTGAAATAGTCTTTGCCATAATAATTGCCAGATGCTAAAAACGACCCACAGAGAAGCATTGCATAACTTCTTGGAAATGAAAGAACAGAGATCAAAATGCATGCACAAAGAAAGAAAAAAGCAAGAGTTATTTTCAAGCAAAGCCATTATGGTTGCTTCTAAAGCTGCCCTTCAGCTTGACTCACCCCTACTGCAACAGGAGCAAAGGTGGCACACAGCAGTGGCACAGAGGACTACGCCAGTCAGCACCACAGGTCCAGCACAGGAAACCTGCAGATATCATCTCTGACAAGAAAAATCAGGTGTAGACCCTTTGTACCAGCTTGGCAAATGCCCACTTTATTTTGGCAAGCAAGCAGAACACTTCAGCCAGCATCGAGCACTCCTGCAGAACTTGCTTGAGTTTCTGAAATCACAACGATTAAGAGTTTCTGCTGGATCAAACAGCCTGAGGGCTTCAGCTTAACTGGGGCAAACTCCCCTGGCATGCTCGGAGCGAACTGACCCGTTATGTTTGTGTAGGAACAGCCTGAGGAGACTGGAAAGCAGCTCATGGACAGACATGGGAGACAACAGAGCATCAGGAGCCAGCATTGATTGTAAGAGTTGTTCAAATATGCGAGATACTAACATGGATACAGACTTCATGGCTTCGTACATTAGCCTGCAACACATGAACAAATAATGGCTGAGAGCGCGGGCCCTTCTCTAGCATCTTACGTAGAAACCCAGCAGTTATTAATAGACACTAATGCTTTCAAACTAAGAAAGGGTATGTACTTTCCAGTGTCTCTTGTTCCGTATTTTGTTCAACAATAAAAATCATTGCACTAGAAAAGTGCTATAAAAAGAAGCAATTCCTCTCTCCCATGTCTCTTACGTCAAGGCTATGTTGCTGTGTAGAAATCAAATCTACAGTACAATGCTGAAGTCCTTACCTTCTGCCGGGCTAACACACACACAGAGTAGGAGGTCTATGGCACAGGCTGATAGCAAACATTTGCACTTATTTTCTTGAACTCTATCTCAACCATGCACTGCAGAGGAGGCCTGTCCTGCTTGTCTCTTGTTAACAACAACAACAACAAAAAAAACACAGCAAGAGGGAGACAAGACATAGACTGTGTTCTCCAGTCCTTTCACTTGTGGCAAGTGTCTGATAAGTTTCCATCAGAAAGGAGTCTGCTTTAAACCCACAGCTTCCAGGTGCAGATGTTTCTTCCCGAAGCAGTGCTACCTGAACCGACTTGTCATAGGTCTCAACTAAAACCTGTGTAACTTGGATGAAATAAGAGGAAAAAATACTACCTAAGAGAACTCCAGGAAGATTGCAAAAATAGCTTCAGCCACATCCAAAACCAGACTGGCAGTTGGGAAAGGAAAGGTGAATTGTCAAGATAACCAGCTACTGCATCAACTAGTACTGACTACAAGCTGGTTACCTTTATCAAGGAGTCATCTTAAGGACGCCAGGAATCACCCCTGGATTTAGAGCAAGAAGATGTGGAACCTCCTACCTCGGCAAACAGGGGAAGTCAGACTAGAAGGGGGGACAAAAGCAAACAGCCCGATTATATGCAGGTATAGCTTTAATCACTCACAGAGCTGCAGAAGTTTCAGGAATTGCACAGCACACAAGAAAACTTGACTTTTACTATGAAAAAAACTTGCAGCTTTGGTAGGCAAGCCAGTCTGTCTGCCAAAATCATAAGCATCTGGAGCCACATATACGTCCATTCGCAGTACAAATGCCTAGCTTTGTTAAGGTTTGCTCTGGTCAATTTTTGAAGTATATACATTATAGATAGTATTATTTCTTTAGAGCTAAGAGGGTGGAAATGCTTAAAAACTAGCATGTATTCAGAGGAATAGAGAATTCTGACTGACATTTATCTCTTCTGTAAACTTCTTGCATTAAAAACTTCTAGCCACATGTAATTGCTAACATTGAACATTTATTGTGTTAAAAAAATAAACATGCAGAAAGCCATCCTCTTTAAAACCAACACATAAAATAATCCAACGAGGATTTTAAGAGAAAAGCAATAGCCCTGTAAGGCATGGACTTGTCCTACACCTCGAGCAGAACTCTGTTTTCTGTGGGAGTCCATGCTCCGACAACACCATGCAATGGTGCGAGTCCAGCAAAAGTCCATCACATAACAGAGCACTTGCCTTGCAGTTTATCTTTCTTTTTCTGCTGCTTGGATTTCTTTCCGTCCACCTGAAGACTGACAGTTCTCCTCTTCTCCAGATTCAAGAGCTCCTGGAAGAGCTCCTGCACGTTGTAGTTCATTTTGGCTGATGTCTCCATAAAGGAGCACTTCCACTTGCTGGCTAATGCTTGCCCCTCACTGGCATCCAGCTCCCTCTGGGTCTCATCACTTTTGTTACCCACCAACATTATTGGGATTTTTTGGATGTCTCCTTTAATCTGACAAATCTGTTCAAAAATGGGATGAAGATCTTCCATGGACTGCCTGCTGGTGACAGAGTACACCAAGATGAAAGCATGCCCTTTGGATATAGACAGCCTCTGCATGGCAGGGAACTGATGGCTTCCCGTGGTGTCGGTAATCTGAAGGGTGCAGATGCTCTTATCACAGCTGATTACCTGCCGGTACGTATCTTCAATTGTGGGGATATAGGTTTCCCTGAAAGTTCCCCTTACAAAACGAAGGACCAAGGAGCTTTTGCCAACCCCTGCCGCTCCAAACACAACCACCCTGTAATCATTGCTTTGTTCAGGCATCTTTGCTGCGCTGTGATACAAGTGAAGGTTTAAACTGAAAAAGCCCGAGTTCTTCAAGTTTACACACCCCTAGCCAGAGGTGGCCTGCGGAGAAGGGAGTTTTTGGAAAGAGAGGAGCAGGGGGAAGAGAAAGAAAAAGCAACCGTTCACACCATCTCGGTAATTTTACGGTGCGTTAACGAAATAAGCAATTAAAAAGTCATTCCCCTCCCATCCTTTTTGCTGGCATTAAAGAGAAATAACTCACTATCCCGCCCCGCCCCCGCCCAGGCATACCTCCTAAGCACGCTTACCGCTACGAGAAATGAAAACGAATTCACCTGTAGCCATCAGCT